TCAACCCTTCCGGCTTCCGGCTCCACACAGTAGGACCTGGGAAAAGATGGAATTTGGAAGCAGGAACTAAAGAGGAGAAGCTGACCAGGGAAGAGGAGCTGGGAAAATGTAGGCAGGGAGGGTGACCCAATCTATCTTCATTTCTTTCTTCATTTTTTGCTGCTGACAGTTCAGGCTTGATGTTTCATGACCTCACGGGGACAGTTTGGTCCCAGAGTATATCTGAGCTTCCTTATACAAACAGCAACTGTCGGTTCATCCATCCATCCAGCCAGCCCCCGCTTCCAACATCCCCACTGGGTGAGCAGAGGAAACATCCCCTGAATTCCAGGACCTTGCAAAACCCTCAGCAGGTACCTCCTGGATTTGATTTTCCTGGGATTTCCTACAAAAACATGAATGTAGAGGATGCTCCTGGGCTCTAGGGAATGGAAGGCACACATAGTCTGGCTGAGGGGCATCTGACCTCCATCCCCAGGAAGAAAACTCTCAAAGTGAAGACAAGACACTCCTCAAAGCCTCTACCAGAGACCACATAACAAAGACTCATTAAAGCACTAAGAAGATGACACCCATGCCTGCCTCCCACCCATCCTGAGGGACCATGGAAAACCAGAAGCCCCCCACCCCCAGCACTCTGCCCAGCCCAAGCTCTCCCAGCCTCTGCTTTCCATCCCCCAGGAGGAAAGACAGTGCCCAGGCAGCTGGCCCTGGTGCCCATGAGCAGAGGGGACCCTCCCTGGAGAACTCGAAAATGCCAGTGAGCAAGGCCCAAACACCTCCACCCTGAGTCTTTCTCCAGCCTTAAAGCAAATCATCTTTTAATCCTGAAACACCAAATATTTAATTTATGCTCTACCTCAAATGTCAAGCCCACCTCCCAGCACATAGCTTTAAAACCACGTAAAGAAGCCTAACACTTTCCATATGAAAAAGACATGGGACCTTTTAATTGTGCCAACTGGTATCATTCAAGGGTAATTCCCCTGGAATCCGGCACTCGGGCAGCAGCTGGGCCAGCCTCCAATCTCATCACCCAACCCCATACATCCTCATGGGCTCCAACTGAGCCTGCACCCTCCTCATCTCCTCCAAATATCAAAATGCACTAATACAAATGCACAAATACCAAAATGCATTTGACTGGTGCACCCAGTCAAGTTACCAAACTGCCTGCAGCCGCCTTTGATCCAGAGCTGGGTTTGCCTGCACCATCACTCTCAGCCTATTTCTTCAGGCAGCTCTGCTATAAAAGAACAAAAGGGCCAGCCCAGGGCGTGGGGAGGAGATTGTTTTAAATCTGGTTGTACGCATTCACAATTGGCCTATACAGAGGCACACAGGTCTTCACCAAGTGCTTCCTACCTGACACCCTGAGTCCATGGCACTATTCAGTCAATCTATTAAGCTTTTTCACTCATCCATTCTATTTTCCACACCCAGTGTTTCCAGTTGGTTTTCTTCTGTAACTGCCTGTTGCTGCTTCATGTTTCCAGCATCCTCCATTATCTCTCTGAGATTACTCTGCTTATTTTGCCTTCTAATTCTGTTTAGCACAGTGTTCTTTGGCGTGTGTGCTGCTCAGTTTATTGCTCCTCTTCCACAGTACTCATGCGCCTCCCATTTCTCATTCCTTTTCTCCTATGAGCCTATATTCCCTTGGACTTGCTCATGTCCCCAGGAAAGGGCAAACGACCAGCCCTTGGCTTGTGTCCCTCCAAGTGAACCTGTCATGAGAGCGGGGGAGGCAGAGAGCCTCTGGTTCCCTGATCCCAGCACTATCACTCCGTTTGTGGGCCCCCATCTCCACCCCTACAAATGTCTTCAGTCAATCTTCCAGTAGGTTCCCTTCCTTCCCAGGTTCAACAGTTATAATCCCATCATAACCCACCAGGGATGAAAATATTATTACACCCATTTTGTAGATGAGCTAATTAAGGTGTACAAAAGTAAAACTGTTCGCACAGGTGACAAATAACTAGGACAGAGCCTGACCTCATTTATTTCTGTATTTTGAAGGGCAGGCTTCATTTAATGCCAGCATGCTCGCCCTCTCACGTCTCAGGACCCCGCATGCAATTTGGACCCATCTGGGACATTTCCCAAGTTCCTCAGACCCTGTCAGGAAGGAGGACAAATATGGGTCATTCCTGCTTCTGCCTGCCCCACGACTGGCTCATCTCAAAGCACCCCCTCTCTGGGAGGAGTTTAGAATGCAGCACCCTTCAGGTGGATGCCCTGGCACAGGGTTTCTCTACACATGACTTCTCCTAGAAAGTGCACCAGAAAGGGAGAAAAACACAGTCCACACCAGCGGGCTGTCAACACTACAAGGTTATGGGAAGGATTAAGATAATGTGTGCAAAGTGCTTGACACTTATAGGCACTTAATAAATACTAGTTATCACTGCAGTAACAATAATACTAGTTGGATGAGCCACAGCGTCTCCAGACAGTTACGTGACAGGCCAGGTAAAGGACTGGAGGCAGAGACTAGCCCCAAAACGGACCTTGGGCTGGTGGGAGGATCTCTGTCAGCCCTTGGAAACTAGCAGACTTCAGAGCCCACACCCTCCTACATCCTGATGATATCATGGAAGAACCTACCAGCTACCCCTTCGGCGCCAGAGGGACTCGGGGAAATAAACCGAGGGCTGCCCATTGCTGTCCTATTCAATATCTCAGTGCTTCCCAAATATTGGGCACTCCGTTCCCACATTCACAATTTTGATCACTTGTACTTAATATTTTTCTCTGGGTTGACTTCACATTAGACTCTCTTTTAACTTAGCTTCATCCGAAGCAATAATATCTGCAAAATCATGGGTTTGATGTCCTAGTTATCTTTTTCTGGTTAAAAAAAAATAGATAACTATTAAGATTTAACATATTCCTCCAGGTACCACCTGAAACCGCCTGGAGGCCGCCTGCAGCGCTGTTCCACACCCTGGGCTCCCCCTGAAGGTCTGACTCAATATCCCTACCTCTGCAGACACACTGGCTGGGCCATCTGGGCCCAAGGCTGGTGAAAACTCAGGCGTCAGGCATCCTGGTCCCCAGCAGCAAGAACAACTCCCAGGGAGACAGAGGCCAGCCCCCTGCTTAACATCTTTGATGGCTGAGGCCCACCCTCCAACCACCTGACACATGTCACGCCAACGGCTCTGAGCCTCGCATCTTCAAACGTACTTTGAACAAACATTAATGACCTCTCAGTGTTTCTCTGAGAGAGGGGGTGAGGGAGGGAGGGGGACAGGCACCGTCCCATGCTGTCCTCAGAAACCGGGCAACAGAATTCCGTGACTTCACCAAAGCCACACTTAAGCTGGGGCCCCCTCCCCACCCTCCCTCACTTCCCCCAATGGCAACTTTTACTGGCCTGCATTCCTCTCGCTGGGAACACTACTATTTAATTAAAAACGACAGACTTTTGTTTTCCTCTCCCTCTTTCCTCCTCCCTCCCATCCTCCCAGACTGGATGCCAAGGAGACCCACCAAAAACATGCGGGTAACATTTGTTATGGCTTTGAAGATAAAAGTCAATTGAAGCAAGCCCTCGCTGTATTTCAAGTTTTCCCTCTAGCATGGAGCAAGCTGCCTGGCAGTTTAGAAAAAGAAAAAAAAAAAAAAAAAAGTAGGGACTGCAAATAAATGTCATTCTGCAGGAATACTTTGTAAAAATAAACAGGCTGAAAAAACCCAAAACTTGATTAATGGAAATCCACTCAGTTGGCCTCTGTCTGGAGCTGCGAATGCATTTGTTCATGTGGCTAAATTAGATCATTTTCATTGGCCTTTAAATAAATAAGTAGATCAAAAACTAGAAAGAGTGGGGGAAGAAAGGGGGGTTGTAGTTCTGTTTTTAAAGGCCCCCACCCACTAAGATTTGACCTTTACTAGGGGATAGCAGCTCCAAGTCCAACCCAGCGAACAGAAGACAGAGAAGCCCCCAGTTAAGCAGTAGTGGTAGAGGACAGGGGAGCTTCTCCTAGGCACAGAGGTTACTTCATCCACACAGAGAAACTGACTTTACCCAGAGGCCCACCTTCCGACACCAGCACTGCAAGCTAGCTGCCAAGTCCCACCACCCAAATACACACACATCTGAAGTCTCCACTGGCCTCTCCCCAGCCCATGGACAAGACCAAAGAACTAACCAGACCTGAGACTCAGTCTATTCCCCCTCTAAGTTAAAAAAAAAATTAAATGTCACATCAAAAAGTTGATTCATCCTTTGATCCTGGGCTTGCTCGAGTTCCACGCAGACCGCCTGAAAGCCCTGTGCAGAGTTCCGGAGCTCACAGGACATCTGTGAACGCCAAGTCCCAGGCCAGGAGCTGGGGCTGGACTCATTCCCATCACACTTAGTGCTCCTCCAGGAACTCCAGCCTCGAGATCCATGGGGTGAAGGCTCAGGGCTGTGCCCAGCCCACAGTAGAATGAGGCCCTCTCTGTCATGGGCCAAGTAAGGGGTCTACCACGTCTCAGTCCCCCTCCATCTGCCACCCAGAGAGCCGCCTGCTCTACTGGGGTTCCTGGACAGGTGGCACTGATGAATGCCACAGACAATCAGAACATATTCAGATCCTGGGGCCAGCCACCAGGATCCTCTGCCCTCCACCCAGATACCCCTAATACCCTCACTCTCCCTGGCTCCTACTCCAGCTCCACCTTTGAATGCTGGTGGCAGAAACAAGGTAGAAGTCAGAGCAGGCCCCCAGATCCCTCCAGCACAGAAACGCTTCCTCATCAACCGGATCTTCACCACCTCCCCATCTAGGACCTTTCCCCCAGGCAGCCCGCTGCCTCCAGCTGGGCATTTCAAGGTTCTCCAAGGCATGAGGGCAGAGGGTTGTGCTGGCAGGGCAGGGGGCAGCTGAGAAGAGATGTTTAGACCCAGAAGCTGTGCAGGAAAGTGCTCAAAGTTGGGATGCATGGGTTTAGAGACCCATCTCTGAGCTGAAAGGAAGCGAGGAGGTGGGGCAGGGTGGGGAGCATACCCGGGTGCCTCCGCCTATGGTGCCTGCCAACCGCAGCTGCCGGGGTCCGGAGACGCCGCCCGGGCAGCGCTGCCTCCCGATCCACTCCTCGATGCCCTTCCGAGCCCAGGCGGCGCTCACGGCGAAGCTGTCACCTGGGGTGGGGACGACATGAAACCCCTGAGTCTGGCTCCGGGAGCCAAAAGTTACCCCCACGGAGGGAAGACTGAGGCGCGGTGGAAGGCGAAGGGCCAAGGCATGGGGGAGGCAGTTCACGGGCTGGGGCAGGAGCCAAGAGAGGGACGCGGGTAAGTAAAGGGGGGTTCAGCGAAGCCTAGGAGCGAGGAGCCAGAAGGGGGTGAGAGGAGTGAGCAATACCCCGGGAGGATGGGTTTGGGGATCAGAACAGGAAGCGCTGGCGGCCAGGTCTGCGGAGAGGGCTGGGGGTCAGGAGAGGGGCCGCAGTAGGTGCAAGAGCCAGGATCTCGGGAGAAGGCGCCGGGGGGCAGGAAGAGGGGGCAGGGTCCTGCGGGAAGGCGCTCGGAGGGTCAGAAAAGAGAGCGCCATGAGAGCCGAGGGCAGGGGCACAGGAGGGGGAGGGGCTGAGGGTCAGCGGTGGGAGCGCAGGACGGCAGGGAGCGGGTAGGAGGGACAGAGGAGGGGGCGCGAAGGCTGCTCCGGGAGCGGGCTTGCGGTGCAGGTGGCCGGAGATGGGGCTTGGGGGTGGCCCTGGTCATAAGACCTAGCGGGCTGGGCCGTTCGGCCGCGGCCGCGGTGCCCCCCGCGTCCATCCCCGAGGTCTGCGTCCCGCGCGCCCCTACCTTCCGGGCTCTCCCTGCGCTTGCACACGGCGGCTGCAGGCACATCGCGCGGTGGCGGCGGCGGCGGGAGCCGGAAAGAAAGGAAGGGAGAGAGTTAGCGACCGCGGCGGCGGGGGCGGCGAGGGCGGCGGGGCTCGGGGCGGGCGCGTGGGCGGTGGCACTGACCCGGCTTGGAGTGAAGTTTCCCCATGCTGGGGCTGCGGCGGCCGGGGGCGTCCCTAAGCCATGCGCCCAGCCCGCGGGCCTGGCGCCTCGCCTGGCTCTCCTCCTCCCCGAGCAGCCCCCAAGCCGAGCGGAGCCCGAGGCGACGCCGGGACGCGCTCCTGCCGCCGTCGCCGCGGCCAGACTGACGCCCGGGAGCTCGGAGCCCCCAGCCCGCCGCCGCGGCCCGCGCCTCCCCGCGCGCCCATTGGCCGGTGCGGCGCATCAAAGGCGAGGCTGGCTGCGGAGGGGGCGGGGAAGGGGGCGGGGAAGGGGCGGGAAGGGGTGGGGAAGGGGGCGGGGCGCGGGCGGGAGGGGCCGGACACAGGCTGCGCTCCCCGCAGAGGTCTGGGGCCCCGGACAGGGTCCCGGGGGCCGCAGCTGGGGACCCCGCGGGGTGGATCTGTCCAGGAGTCGTACTGGGACAGAACTCCCCGGCCCTCGCTGACTGTACTGTCACTTCCCTCCTCTCCAGGTTCCCTCTAAAACGGCAGGGCGGGACTCAGCGACTCCAATTCACAGGTGGGGAAACTGAGGTCGAGAACCGAGACTTGAGCTGCTCCGGCGCAAGCGTCGGCAGCACTACCTTTTCCCAGCCTTCCCAGGACCATGAGTTTCTGCCTTCTGCAGAAAGTGTTCATTACCCTCCCTGTGCCCCACCCCCCGACCCCCGCACTCGTCTAGTTTCTTATTTGGGAGTCCAGGAGGAGCCCCCAGCGCACACCAGGCCAGTGTGGGCCCAGCTCTCTCCTGGCGGCGACAAGTGTCCAAAGAGCCCCGTTGTCAGCCAGTCTCTCGGATCTCCTTGTCCGGGGGCCCGTGGGTGCCCGCCCGGGTCGGGGCGCGCTGCCAAACTGCGCGGCCCGGAAGGGGGTAACCGCTGGGTCTTTGATCTTTCTTGGTTTCCGCTCCCCGCTGCAGTTCGCCAGACCCAAGGGTTTGTTTGTTTTGTCTGAGGAGGTCTCTGCGGGGAGGTCGCACGGGGGTGGGGGGACGGTCGACATCAAGGGGTTCTACCCCACCTTTGTGGCTCTCAGAACGCCTGCCCCTTCTGGGGACACTGTGGGTCCAGGTTACTTACGCTCGTCCTGGTAGCTGGCAGCTCGGGCGTGGGAAAAGAAAACCCGGAGCTCAGAGTGAGGAGACCAGCCCCGACTTTTGGAGTGAATTCCCTGCGCAAGGCTCAGTTTTGTGATCTGTAAAATGGAGGCTCCGTTCTGCCCTTTTCGCCCACTCCCTAGAGCAGCAGTACCGCCCAATTGAAATATAATTTGGGCCACATTTGTAATTTTAAATTTTCTAGGCGCTACATCTTTTAAAAGTAAAAACGAAATAGATGAAATATTGATAATGTATTTCGCTTAACTCAATACAGTCAGCCCTCTTTATTCGCAGGTTCCACATCTGCAGCGTCAACCATCTGTAGACTGAAAATATGCAAAAAAGAATAATACAGCAAAAATAAACAATAAACGTTTTAAAACAGTATAGCAACTATTTACATAACATTTACATTGTATTAAGAATTACAAGGAATCTAGAGATGATTTAAAGTATACAGAAGGATGTGTGTAGGCTATATGCAAATACTACTGGACATTTTATATAAGGGACTTGACATCTGGGGATTTGGATATCCTCTGGGATCCTGGAACCAGTCACCAAATATACCAAGAGAGCACCGTATATCCAAATTATTGTAATTTCAAGATAGAATGAGATATTTTACATTCTTTGTTTTGCACTGTCTTAAATTAGTCAGTGTGTATTTTACACTTAAAACACATCTCAAAGACTAGCCATATTGCAAGTGATCATTTGCACTTGGCTAGTGGCTACTGCATTAGGCAGCATCGCTCCAGAAGATCTACATGTCTCAGAGGGACATAAGGAACTTGCAGCCCCCCAGAGTCATGAATCTCTTCATCCAAGTGTCTTACTTTCATCTTCCAAGCTTCCTTTTTTACACACGCTTTTTGGTGGAAATGAAGGCTAATGTTATAAGCAAGTACATTATAATGCTGTTGGTAGGGTGGTTTCATTTGAGGAGCGCTGAACCCACACAAATATACTACTATTGTCGTTTTTATGTTACAATTCTTCATTCAGTACTTCTCATGCACCAGTCCTCATCCTCCGTCATGTATTCTCATCCTCGCAAGCACTCTGAATCAGACTCATACTTGTTCTAGAAAGGAGGGAACCTATTAAACTCAGAGAGGTGAACTCACTTGCCCAAGATCACACAGCTCATCCCTGACCCAATTAGAAACTGAAGTCTAATCTGTTGATTTCATCGCCCATGCTTGTTTTCACTACATTAGGTTGTTCCAACACAGTCCAAAACTAATGTTTCACCACTAGAAAGAGAGTCTCTCATCTGGAAACAAATATGAAGGGCCAGCTATGTAACAAGCATTGTTTTAGGCATTTAAGATACGTCAGTGAGCAAAATAGACAACTGCCACTCTCATGGAACTGCCACTCACCTAGGGGGAAGATAGGCAAGAAACCATAAACGTAATGAATGGGTAAACAGTGTAGTATGTTGTATCAGGGGTAACAGGCCATTTTTCTTTCTTTCCATCCCATAAGGAGCTGGCAGCAAGCAGTTTTGCCCTCTGGGGGACAACTGGCAATGCCTGAAGGCATCTGGTGGGTAGAGGCAAGGGTTGCTACTACACATCCCGCAATGCATAAGATAGCCCCCTCCACCACCACAAAGAATGATCAAGCCTCAAATGTGGGTAAAGCCGAAGTAAGAACCCCTGAGCTGTAGGAACATAACAAAAGTAGGGCTGAACTGTGGGGTCAGAAGGAGGAAGGCAGGGGTTTGAGCCTCTGAGTCAGAGTGGGAAGCCTCCTTCAGCCCCCTCAAAAGGCAGTGGAAATCGTGTGGGGTTCCTGTTTGCCTTTGTCACACCTTTCCACCCATACCAGGTGTCTCTAAATCAAAGCAAAACTTGGAGCATCCTTTCTCACAGTGCTTGGAAAGTTGGTTACTTTCTTAAACTGGTCCTGGCTTTCTTCTTTCGTGAGAAACAAGTATCCCCTCTTCCCCCTGGGAATTTCTTTCTACAGTTCAAAAAGAGATAAAAGCAAGAACTAAAACTGCAGTTAGCAGTTTGAGTCTTTGGGGGGAGTAAATCCCAAATGTCCAGCCCAGACACAAAGGCCCCTCCACCTTCACCCTGGCGCTTCCCAGCCCAGCAGGCGCCTAGGACTTCATTGCTATTGGAATCATGACTCCCCTACCCGGGTCTGCGGTGAGAACCAAGAGATGGGCCTTGTGGCAAAATGTTAGCCTGTCCAGGGCTCTGAGAAGCAGGTCCCCAGGGGCCACCAGCATGCTGTCCACCTGGGGTGGCCATTTGGCCTCCGAGGGCTTCCCACCCCACAACTCGCTGTCTTCTTATGTGTTTTAATAATTTATCTGGCCCATTTCTTGGGCTGTATACTTACAGTGACACATCTTTTTCTTTGAAGATTTCCCATCCTTTGGGGGAGGAGAATGGGAAAGGAAGGCAAGGAAGAGATAAGAGAGAGAGATTATAACAGAAACGGGTTTCATGGGGCTTGAGATTTAAAAAGGCTGGTTTAGGTGAAATCTGTCAGACATAGAGCTGGAAGATTTAAAAAAAAAAAAAACTACATCACCCGGGTTGGCTGCCCCAATGCCTGTCCCCCAGGTTAAGCCATCTGATCTGGCCCGCTTCAAATGCCACTTCCTAAAGGAAGCCCTCCTTGACCTTCCAATCTCAAGGGCTCTTCTCTGCTCTGATTATCCAAGGTTTCCCTGACCCCTCCCATCTCCTTATTTTTTATGAATGAGGCCGTTTCACTCCTGGAGCCAGGAATCCTTGAGGCCAGGGTTCCTGCCTGACTTACATCTCTGAATGCAATGCCAAACACAGCATTGCCTATAGCAGGTGCCATCACACCTGCTGTGGAAGGAGACAAACTCAGTGTGCCCAGCCTTAGCCAGGAGTGTGCTGTGGTCACTAAGGAGGGAGTACTGCCAAGAATAAGATCTGGGATAGACGAAGGAGAAAAATCAGTTCTCAAGTCTCTACTGGTTCCTCCTGGATCCCTGGAGTTGCTTTATTTTATAGTTCCCTGGTGAGTTTTGGCATTGCTAAGGGGCCTGGAAGCCTGGTTTGGGTGAGGAGGGGAAAGTTAGACTACTCTGCATGAGAAAATATCAGGCATTCTGGAGGGAAGGGAAGAGAAAGGTCTCAAAAGAAACAAAGATCACAAGAATAGAGTGACAGTGAGGGCCTAAGACGGCACAGCCAGCAAGGTGGGGAGTGGCCAATTCGCTTTCCGGACAGTGAGCTCTAGCCGGCGATTGGTGGTGCTCTCTCCTTCCTTTGTTGCTCCAAGCCATCAGCAAAATCCTAGCCACTTCCCAGGTTAGTGGCACAGGACAAAATGAAGGAATCAGAAACATGACCCCCACAGGTAATTAATGGGGCCATGGGCAATCTTCAGAGTGGAGACGTCCTGCAGGAGAAAAGATGGGAGCCAGAGGCAGCCAGGAAGCATCAGACCTTGGAGATGACATGGAGGAGGTTGGGCTTCCCCAAGAACCAGGGCTGGGGTCTCCAAGCCACTCTGTTTGGGTACCAAAGGCAAAAAAGAAAAGCACGTGCAAAGGCCCTGAAGTGGGGACTGCCATGGATGTTTTGGAAATAGCAAAAAGGTCCCTGGATTTGGAGCAGAGAGAGGGGTTTGGAAGTAGAGGGGAGAAAATGAGGTTGGAGGTGACTGGGCCAAAAGGCAGCTGCTTGCCTTCGGTCTGGATATTCCTTGAATTGAACTGGATTTTCGTGCCAGCAACTCCTCCCAGGTTCAAGATGTTTTAGCAAGTTTAGAACACAGGCTTCCCGGGTGAGCCTGGAGGAGAGAGAAAGCCAGCCCAACCTCACCATCTCCTTGGCAGGGGCCCTGCTCTCCTCTCAGTCCTGCCTCTCTGCTCTTCTTCACACTGGGCAAAGAGGCTATATTAGTTTGTTCTCACAGTGCTATAAGGACATACCCGAGACTGGGCAATTGATAAAGGAAAGAGATTTAATTGACTCATAGTTCTGAATGGCTGAGGAGGCCTCAGGAAACTTGCAATCATGGCAGAAGGTCTATGTCCTTCTTCACATAGCAGCAGGAGAGAGAGGTGTCAAGCAAAGCGGGGAAAGCCCCTTATAAAACCATCAGATCTTGTGAGAACTCCC